ATAGAATTAGAAAATTCTTTCTAACATTATTTTACTAGTTTCTATTACAGTTGGTGTTAAATCTTCTTAAAGAAGATGTGTCTTCAAAAGCACTTCTTAAAGCATATCATTTTCTCCACTTTATTTTTATTAGCTTGCTGGGAAGCCTTGGGTCGTGTTTAATGCTGGGAGTACTGAAGCTGACAAGTTTCTATTAACCCAGGAGTTGCAAACTTTATAGCCAGTGTACACACAGATGTGTCTGGGTGTCTGATTAATCCCTTCCTAATGTAGTACCAAGTAGGAAAAGATTCCTTACAAATCCCCAAAAAGAAAGAAAAAGTAATTCTGTGCCTCATTAGAGTCCTTGGAGAATTGTAGTGATATCTTCCTCAGGCTACAAGCTTATCTGTGAGGAACACAGTATGTCCTAGCTCTGGTGAATCTGTTTCCCTAGGCAGCTTGATCATCAGTGGTCATAAGCTGGGCATCCATCATATGACATGTGAAGAGTACATGAGGGGTTATGAGAAGTGACAGGAGACATGCTCTAGAAGTTCTGCCCTGAAGTCACTTACAAATCAAAGCGGCAAACAGAGCAAGCCCAAGTAAAATGATCAGCAACGTACATACATACTAAAAACTCAACTACACCTACCTACATAGTGAGACATGTGACTGTTGGCAGGCCAGAAATGATGGTGCTTATTGGAATCTGGTGAAGTGAATATAGGAATGCCTGGGGAAGAAAAATGTTGAATAACATCTTGAAGAAAGAAATGGACATAGTTTAACAGAGTAGTTGGGGGAGAGCATACTGGGGAGCGTTGAGCTGGGAGCCATAAAACTTTTAGGATGTGTCATTTATGTCTCAATAACAATGGAAGAAAAGTCTTTTAGAATCAAGAGTACAAAGTAGCATGTTAGCTCTGAAGGGCATAGTAGGAATGAATGCTTAAAAGAATCAGCTGGTTCATACATTCATGTTTTTAGAGTTAGAAAAAGATGTAATAACCATTCTTCAGTGTGATTGGTACTGATGACCGGGGATGGTTAGGATTAAAATGTCTGAGGTGTTCTCAAATTTATAATCCTAGGAAATGGACAGCCTTGCTTCCTGCAAACAAAGGCTGATAATTGGTCTGATAATGCAGTGATGGAGAATCACCCTCAGCATTCCATCTGATCATTTCAAGCCTCTACATGATGTTAACAAGAGGCTTGAGCATACAGTGTTAGATAATTCAGACATGAGCCCTGTTCTTATTAAATACATAGTCTAGTGAGAAAAGTAGAGACAGATACAATTCATTAATTATACTTGTGTGCAGTGCTTTAAGGAAGAGGATAGGGTATTTGAGAGGACTAGATCCTCTGGGGCTTCCAAGCTTAAGCTGGTCCTCAAGGATGAAGTGGAGTTACCTAGATCAAGGTTTTATGTCAAAGGAATGAGAAAGGCAAGGTTCCAGGCAAAGGAACTTAAAACAGGGATTGTGTTTAGAATTGAGAGAGTAAGAAAAGCGATGGGCTGGGCGGAAGGTAAAATCGTTTCATCCTTACTAATCATCCCTGTGGTGAGAATGACCGCTTCTGGTTAAAATGGGGAGGATCATCCCATTTCCATCCAACTTCTTAGGAACATTGAAAAGAAGGTCCTAATGCGAAGGCAGTGTTGAGAGCCTTTGAAGAAAGGCTCTGTGAACATACACACTGCTATTAAGCTTATTATTCATTTGGAACTCCAGCAAAAACATTGCTGTAAGCCCCTGGGCAAAACTAGCTTACCTCAGATCTCTCTCTCCCTTGAAAAATGCCCTCAAGGTCAGTATTCAGCTTCCCCGCTGTGGATTAGGTTGGCAGTCCAACTTCCTGAACTACAGGTAATTAGGAAGAGAATGTTCTCTCTCTTCTAATCATCCTCTCTACCTTGTGAAGCCTTGAGAAATTCTTTTCCTTGGTCCCCTCTCCAGTTGGCATCAATGGTTGCACTTCAGTTCCTTCCTATTGCAGGGCGCCCTCTGCATCCCCCACGGATTGACCACAATTCAGTGATCAAGCGACGGCTTCCTGGGTCCATTGTAGCTCCAACCTAATTAGCTTAGATTTGAAGACCTGAAATTCAGATAAAATAAGGCTAATTTGGCAAATGAATTTCAATAGCAAACTCAATATAGAACTCATAGCCTAATTTTTCAAATTCTTTTGGACGTTGTGGTCCACGTTCCATCAAATTCCATGATGCTGATCGCTTCGGAAAGAGCTAAGTTAATTTCAGCGTGCTGGTAAAGACAAGGGCTGACCCACAAGTGTTTCCATTCTGAGAACTGAAGGAATCCGAGCACAGTGTTTAAATAAGCTTGACTAACAGGGTTGGGTTTTTTCTCCATTTTTTGACACTTACGATTTCAAAGTTCTAGCTTCATTATTCTTGTAATAGAAAATGACAACTAAGAGTGTGCTACCTGGTAAGTTTTGTGGGCGAACAACATTTGAAAGTAGCCAGCTGTGAGTTATGTCTGTAACTAAGAATATTTGCTTTCAAATATGCTGATTATCATGGTGCTTTTCTTTAAGTATCCCTCTGTGATTAAACTCTATCATGTATCAATGCTAGGTTCACCTCATAGGAAAATATGTCCTTAAGACTTAGCATCACCTCTTTATCTGAGCTCTTCTGTAAACTGTACAGTATCACTCAACCTTGTCCTTGGGTTCCTTTCCTTCCCTGATTCATTCCACCATACCATTATTGTGATTATTTTACCTTTATAGCATCTCCTGAGAATTTTCTTCACATGGATTCTGGTTTAATTAAAAACAAATTCTTTTTTGATGTTATATTAGATGAAACCCGAAGAAAAGCTTCTTTATAAAAATTTCAGCCTCTTCTTGAAGGATTGAGCTATGAAATAGTGAGTGCATGCTGATGGGCTGTATAAATTCAGTTTAATGAAATATTCGGAACCTAGTTACACAGTTCTAAAACTTACAGAGGTATATATACTTACAATCCTGAATTTTACCTGTGGTGTGGAAGGTCAAGGGATAAAAGAGGACGTCAGCAGGCCAAGCTCTTGACCAGGACTACCGGTAGACTCTCCAGGGCTGTGAGACACAGCAGTGTGTTCACTTGTGAGTTTGTGTGGGCGCAAGTTAGTTTCAAATATTTGAACAGCAAGCTCAGCCCTTCTGATGCTGTGGACATGGTGGAAGAAATCTCTGCATATAGGTTAAACTAATAGACTCACTCTAAAACTAGAAGAGGCACAAGCATCTCAACAGGGCAAATGAGACCCAGTGAGACTGTGCAGTGTACGTACTCACACAGGGATTTGCGAAAAATCTGGAAGAGAAGCCAGATTTTATGGGTTCCCACTCGAATGCTCTACTCTAAGTTGATTCATAAATTTTTTCATCGAGCAGAACTTAAACTCCTGTGATAGTTTTAAAATATATCTATAAATTCTTCCATGCTCCTCCCTTTGAGTGTGAGCTGGACTCAGTGAATCACTTCTCATGAATAGGATATGGCAGAGGTGACAGTATGTGACAAAGTTGTAAAAGGTATTGCAGCTTCTGCCTTACCCTCTCTCTTGGATCCTCTGCTCTGTGGGAAGCCAGCTGGCATGTCATGAGAACACTCAAGGAGCCCTATGGAGAGGTCACATGGTGAGGAACTGAGGCCTCCTGCCAACAGCCATGTGAGGGAGCGTGGAAGCTGATAACTGCACGTCCAGTCAAGCCTTCAGAAGACTGCAGCGCTGGCTGACATTTTTACTGCAACCTCATAGGAGATGCCAAGCCAGGACCACCTCACTTAGTCACTCCCGAATTCCTGACTACAGAAACTGTGAAATAATAGTTACTGCCTTAGCCTGATAAGATTGGAGGAAAATTTTAATGCAAGAATAAATAATTAATATTACAACAGCATATCAAGATGCTATCTATTATAGAGCTCAATCCTCTAATAATATCTAATGATTTTACTTAAAAGTTTTTCTTTAGGCTTCATCCAATATACAATATCAAAAAGTCTTGTCTTTGAGGCTTCTTATTAGCCCAGGGATAAGTTCTTAGACACAAATTAAGTTGTCGTCTGAGACACTGAGACAGAAAGTGTGTTTCATGAAATTGTTTGAACAAGCTGTAAAACTACTTTTGATTATAAATATTGGCTCTGAGAAGCATTGGCTATCCCTCTCTACATGTCATAGTTCACTGCTTAATTATTTCTTTGGGAAATGATACCCTGTCTTAGTTGTCTATGGTTCTTCCAAAGAAAAATACCAGCAAAATACAATAGTCCAACCTTTAGCTCCCCACAGAGCTAGTCTAAGAGTAACCAAGATAACATTACCGAGTAGATTCTCACCTGGATAAATGATTTCAGAAATACCCTGAGGTTCATCCCCACAGACCTGGTTGTTCTAGGGTATGTATTAGACTCTGAGAGAAGACAGCTCAGGAGCTAGCATGTCACTTCTCCAGACGTTAATTGAGGCACACCCGCTTGAGTTACCATCTTACCTGCTCTCAAGGAAGGAAGGAAATACCTATTAAGCACCCCTCAGGGAGTTAATAAAGAGGTAAAGTCACTTGTGAATTAATCAGTAATCCATGGCAGATTCAGTAGTATATTTCTTGCCCTCTGAGGACCTAAATATAGCGAAATAATGTGAATAGCACAGAATCCTGAACTGAGAAGTAAGACTGTTCTATATCAGTTAATCGTAATTCTTCAAATAAATAGAGTCTGATGTAATTTATCAAAGCTCCCTTCTCTAATCTTAAGAGTATGTGACAAGGTCAGCCAAATACTGTTCTCCCAGCCTCATCAATTAGAAATCAAATCTGGGGAAATTCCCTTGCGGTCCAGTGGTTAGGACTCTGCCCTGTCACTGCTGAGGACATGGGTTCAATCCCCGGTCTGGGAACCAAGCCACCTGGCATGGCCAAAAAGAAATCAATTCCGGGGTTGTTCTCTCCAATGAGATGGTAATAATGCTTCTTTCCCTTAGGTGAAAGTGTGGAAGAAAACGCCAGCGTCGTGGTCAAGCTGCTCATCAGACGCCCCGAGTGTTTCGGCCCGGCCCTGCGGGGTGAAGGAGGAAATGGTCTATTGGCGGCCATGCAAGGCGCCATTAAGATCTCCGAGAACCCAGCCCTCGACCTCCCCTCGCAGGGGTATAAAAGAGAAGTGTAAGTGAATGAATTGTCTTCTCACCCCAGTATGGTTGGTGAGCTCTGAAATATTCTCAGTACACGCATGGTAAAGTAAACGTCCATAACCTCCCCCTGGTAGAGAAAGCACAGGCGCTTTGCAGTTATGGCTCACACATTTTAGGTCACTTTGTCAAGCTTGTTGTTATCTTGACTCCCAGTAAGCCTAGTGGTCAGTATCATCTTCACCCCTTTCCATTTCTCCTACTCCACTCAGGCCAGTTGGCAAATGGAGGAGTCAGCAAGCTCTTTCAGCCCTTGCCGCGCCTCCCTATGGCATCCCCGTGGGAGGAAGCTGTATCCAGGCTAAGAGGCCTGGACCAACAGGGTTCCAGTCACTGTCTAACCCCAGCCCGTTCCCTTCAGTATATTGAACCTTGGTGTCCCATCTCATACCTCACTTTTAAGAAGAGGGAGTACCCTGCACTCCCTCTTCCAAACGTGTTCGATTTGATTCCTTAGGTAAAAAGAAAGCTGCAGAATGTGAAAAATCACAGCACTAAAAATCTTGGTATTTAGGGCTTCCCTGGTGGCGCAGTGGTTGAGAGTCCGCCTGCCGATGCAGGGGACGCGGGTTCTTGCCCCGGTCCGGGAGGATCCCACATGCCGCGGAGCGGCTGGGCCCGTGAGCCATGGCCGCTGAGCCTGCGCGTCCGGAGCCTGTGCTCCGCGACGGGAGAGGCCACAGCAGTGAGAGGCCCGCATACCGCAAAATTAAAAAATCTTGGTATTTAATGGTTAAAGACATAGTTAGTACGTTATCAGATTGCCTTGTGACCTTCCTTTCATTATGTCTTGTGAACATTTCCCTTGTATTGCAGCCTCTAGATTAGACCCCAGAATCTAGAGATGGGATATAACTCAGCAGAGGTAACTTTGCAGCCAGTGGCTCCTTTTTTTTTTTTTTTTTTTTTTTTTTTTTGGAGGGGGTGTGGTTATTAGTTCTGGTAGGTGATCTGGTAGAGTTAGATAGAATCCTGAACATAAACTGTCCTAAATTTCTCATGTAAAATGAGAAAAACTGAGACCCAGAGTCAAATAGCTTGTTAGCAACAGGACCAGGACCTGGACTTGACCCTTCTGACTTCTTGTCCAATGTGCTTTCCATGTCTATTAAGGAAGGAAAAGGGAAGGAATGGTTGGTAGGAGCTTTGGGGGTCACAGTGCAGCTCCATGAGTATGTGTGGTCTTCATGATCCATTCATGTCAGTAAAGTTCATGGGACCCTAGGAATGTCATGAACAAATATTTGGGTCCCTTGAGCTTGGTGAGTTAAACCGTCTCATTGACAACTAGAGGGAGAGAAGGAGCCCAACGGAAAGGATGCGTGAAGCCCAGGGTGAGCAGAGAAAGTGTTTCTATATCGTGTCTAAAACACGGCCCCACCTGCCAGGCTGCCTACACCTCCTTGTGTTGGTTCTCTCTCAGCAGCATGGAGGACCATGAAGATGAAGAAGAGATTGTGCACATGGGCAACGCAATTATGTCATTTTATTCGGCTCTTATAGATCTGCTGGGCCGCTGTGCTCCTGAAATGCACGTAAGTGATGAGTTCCCAGAGAGCAGACTTGAGGGGCTTGAACCAGGAACAGTGTAGATTTCATGAATGTCATTTCTTCTTCCAACTCTGACATTTGTGAACATGCCTTTCTCTCTGTTCCTTGTAGCCAATATCAAAAGTAGTTTCCATCTCTCGTACCTGATTCTACAGTTTTCCAAGGAATGACTCCTGGGAAGATCTCTGCGTTGTGTGATTCCTCTGTGACACTAATGGGGCATATCTGATACATATCCTGTTTCAAAAGCCTCCCAAAACTATGTTTTCCTATGCCTCACCTTGGTCAAACTGTGACCAACTTGATTTCTTGATTGTGTCTATCAGGACACTCCACATGGAAAATCCTTTCTTGACAACCATGGTGTCAGGCATCAGGAAGGTAGTCACGGTTCATGTTTGCTTATTTCCCAGAGGTAAGCTTTACAGACATACTAAAAAAAAATGTTTCTAGGGCTTCCCTGGTGGCACAGTGGTTGAGAGTCCGCCTGCCGATGCAGGGGACACGGGATCGTGCCCCGGTCTGGGAAGATCCCACATGCCGCGGAGCGGCTGGGCCCGTGAGCCATGGCCGCTGAGCCTGCACGTCCGGAGCCTGTGCTCCGCAACGGGAGAGGTCACAGCAGTGAGAGGCCCACGTACCACAAAAAAGTTATGTTTTCACCTTCCTTTTTTCATCTCTGCTGGGGGTGGAGAAAGAGATTGGCCTTATTTCTCATAAAGACTCACATCATAAGTGACAGAGGAAATAATTACTTCTTGTAGGAAAACAGAAAAGATAGCTTTTTATATTTAAAAAAATACTTGGTTAACTCTTTAAAAGAACTGTTGGATTTGCTCATTCAGGGCTCAGGCGCCTGCCTCTCTCCGCGGTGCTCACTGCCTTTGGATTATGTCAGAGCGTCTCCTGAGAGTACTTGCAGTACAGATTGGGATGACATAAATAGTGGTTTCTGGTATTGATGAGGTTATATATTTGGTCACTGCCAAGAGAACAGTGGATATGTTGTATTTGTTTAATGCTAATGAAAGACAGAATCAATTAAAGTAGTGGCTTTCAAACTTTCTTTCTGACCAAAAAAAAAAAAAAAAATTGTTCTGATCATAGTAAGAAATACAATTTACATTGCAACCTAGTATACATATATTCCAGAAACAAAGTTTATCCTTACTATGGATAATGCACTCTAATATTTTCTATTCTATACTAATTTATTTCATGCTTTTTAATGCTGGTGACAATCCACTAAATGAGGTTACAGCCCATTAATTGGTCATGACTACAGTTTGAAAGACATTGCATTAAAGCATTCACTCTTATCTTTCTTCCAGTTTGTCATGGTCTTATCTAATAAATGATGTAGCCTGTTTGCAAATGCATCTACAAGTGTTTAGGGAAACTATTCCAGTATGGAAGAATCTAGGATAAAAGTACTGTGGAGAGGGGAAAGTCTAAATCTCCAAAGTGAGGCCGATCAGAATTCTTAACTTAGTATTCTAGTTCCCACTGTGGAACTTGTACCTTACCCACATAGGCCCATCTTTCCATTTCTGTGCCCTTAAACAAATAAAGGAAACTTGAAAGGGGGCTAGGGAAATACTGGGGTGTCCTACAGTCTTGGGGCAGGGTGTCATTTCCCCAGATCACCTGTAATCACTTCAAAAAGCAGGTTACACCGTTTGCCTAGTCTCGGGAAGACAGGCAGCACGGGATAGCTAAGTCATCAGAGCCCCACTGGGAAGGCGTTTCCTCCTTGCTTACTGCCCCTCAGATTCAATACCTTATAAACACACACACACACACACACACACACACACTTCTCCCCTGGCCCCTCCTCTGTTAGTGAGGGGGAGGGGTGACACCGTCATCACTGACAGCCTCCCCTCTGCCCACAGGAATGAGAGGTGGCAGCTAAGCTCACACACAGGTGTTCTCCTGTCTCCAGTCCTTCGAGCATTATGTCTCAGCATGTCATCCAGCTCCCTCCTGGGTAGAATCTATCCTGAGCTCATGACAGTTCCATTGCTGGCTAAGAGCCTGTGCCCAGAAGTGCACCTGCCGCCCCCAGATCCAAGAGAATGTGCACCTGTACATCCCACCTGTGGCCATAAGGATCAGGTTATCCGTCCCCGGATGATTCCCTTGAGATGTTCACGTTCTCTCTGACATCCTCTACACCCCTTTTATTGCCCTAGTCCCAGCATTAATCAAACTTTTAGGAAATAGAAATTCCTAAGTCGTTTCTACATTTAGCAGAATTCCAGGGTCTGGAATTGTGCCCACATTGTCACCACTCCTGTCATAGCCACCAAGAGCTCCTGGTATTGCAGTCACACTGAGGACAGGCTGCACCTTCACTGCTGAAACTTGATGCCAAAATGGCATGACCATTGCTGTCGCAGCAAAGGAACACACTAACCCTCCTTGGCCAGAGTCATTCCCTCAGTAGCAGCTCTTCTAAAAAATCAAGAGAAAGCTCCTCTTTTCCCTGTGGTCACACATGTCTAGAACAATTAGGGAAACATAGACGTGTCCCCACCCCATCCCCCCGACAAGGAGAACCATTTTGCTGCCCCAGGCTTCTGAAGCAGGAGTGTGGGAACCTCATTTATGTTACTCTCCAAACCTACCTTGCAGCTTATCCAGACAGGAAAGGGGGAAGCCATCCGGATCAGGTCCATCCTGCGCTCCCTGGTCCCCACCGAGGACTTGGTTGGAATCATCAGCATCCCCTTGAAACTGCCCTCCCTGAACAAAGGTAAGGGAAGCTGCTGGAGGCTGAGTTCTGCCAGTCTCCCCAGGGCCACCTGCTCACAGCAGGACTCCATCCGCCTCCTACTGCAGGGCAGGCCGCACAGGCGAATTATCTTTGCTCTTTTTCTGGTGTTGAGGGGTCCTCTCCTCCCAGCTCCAGCCGGCTGCTGTCTCCCCTGCTCCCCTGCGTTGAGACTCCCGTACCCCATTTCCTATCAGTACGGCTAGTCCAGACCTCAGTCTTCTGAACGCCAACCCTCTGGAAGGAGGCTGATGGACTGGAACCAATGAGATCTCTCACCAAAACTTCCTTCTCCTTTGCCTCTGCGCCCCCAGCTTGTGCAGCCAGCCAGAGCGACAAAAGGATAGGGTCTGACCCAGGCTCCCCTGCACCACAGTACTGTGTCCCTCACAGCCATGGATCATAAAGAGTTTTCCCCCTGTGCTACATGTGACATTGGGCATCAGTCCGTATTAACTTTGCCAAACTTATACTCTCCCAAAAGCACACAGGTTCTCCATGTCACTCCACCTGCTATCCAGGCAGTTTCCTCTTAGCAGACGGAAGAATTGAAAAGATAGTATGATTTTGTTATAGAGTTTCCCAAAACTAGTGTTCCAAGGAACATTTTTATAAAAGACATTAATTGGTGTACATGTCAACAAGGGGTTTGCAGTCAGTCACTTTGGGGAACCTATGGAATATATCACATTTTTTCCATCCTTATTGAGATATAACTGACATATAATGTTATATAAGTTTAAGGTGTACAATGTTATGATTTGATATTACAAAATGTTTACCAAAATAAGGGTAGTTCATGCATACTTCACCTCACATAATTACCATTTGTTGTTGTTGTTGTTAGGGTGAGAACATTTAAGTTCTACTCTCATAGTAACTTTCACATAGTAACTCTCATAGTAACTTTCACAATACAGTATTGTTAACTATGGTCACCATGCTGTACATCAGATCCCCAAAACTTACTCATCTTATAACTGAAAGTTTGTACCCTTTGGCCAACATCTTCCATTTCTCTCACTTCCCCCAACACCTGGTAACCATCAATCTACTCTCTGTCTCTATGAGTTCAATTACTTTAGATTTGACACATAAGTGAGATTATACAATACTTGTCTTTCTCTGTCTTATTTCACTTAGCATTATACCTTCAAGATCCATCCATGTTGTTGCAAATGGCAGGATTTCCTTCTTTTTATGGCTAACTGATATTCCTTTGTGTCTGTATATATGTGTATACATACCACATTTTCTTTATCTATTTATCTGTGGACACTTAGACTATTTTATTTCTGTATCTTGGCTATTGTGAGTAATGTTGCAGTGAACATAAGGATGCAGATATCTCTCTGAGATAGTGATTCCATTTCCTTTGGCTATATATCCAGAAGTGGGTTTGCTGGATCATTCGGTTGCTCTATTTATAATTTTTTTGAGGAACCTCAACACTGTTTTCCACATTAGCTGCACCAATTTATATTCCCACCAACAATGCACAAAGATTCCCTTTTCTCCATACCCTCACCAGCCTTTGCTACCCCTTGGTTTTTTGTTTTTGTTTTTGTTTTTGTTTTTTATAATAACCATTCGACAGGTGTGAGGTGATATCTCATTGTGGTTTCCCTGATGATTAGTGATGTTGAGCATCTTTTCACGTACTTGTTAGCCATTTGCATGTCTTGGAAAAATGTCTGTTTGGGTCCTTTGCCCATTTTAAATCAGATTATTTGTTTTTGTTTTTGCTGTTGAGTTTTTATAGTTCCTTATATATTTTGTATATTAACTCCTTGTTAGATGTATGGTTTGTGAATATTTTCTCATATTCTGTAGGTTGTCTTCTCACTTTGTTGATTGTTTCTTTTGCAATACAGAAGTTTTTTAGTTTAATGTAGTCCCACTTGTCAGTATTTGCTTTTGGTGTCATATCCAGAAAAATCATTGCCAAGACCCTGTCAAGGAGCTTACCCACTATGGTTTCTTCTATGTTTCTGGAATTTTTCAGTTTCTTCTGGGTTGTCCAATTTTTTGGCATATAAGTGTTCATAGTAGTCTCTTCTGATCCTTTCTATTTGTGTGTTATCAGTTGTAATGTCTCTTCTTTCATTTATAATCTTATTTATTTGAGTCTTCTCTCTTTTTCTTGGTAAGTCTAGTTAAAGGCTTGTCAATTTTGTTTATTTTTTCAAAAAGTCAACTGTTAGTTTTGTTGATATTTTATTGTTTATTGTTTTGATATTTTATTAGTTTTGTTGATATTTTATTGTTTATTGTTTTATTGTTGAATTTTTATTGTTTTATTGTTTTCTATTCTCAATTCATTTATTTCTGCTCTGATCTGTCTTATTTCCTTCCTTACAGTATTAGAGTATTCTGGATCTGACTATATACTTAGCTTTAACAATGTGTGATATATTTTCATGTTATTAATTAGTATCCTTTCATTTCAGTTTGAAGAACTCCTTTCAGCATTTCTTATAAGTGAGGCCTAGTGGTGATGAATTCCCCCCACTTTTATTTGTTTGGGAAAGCTTTTATCTCACCTTCATTCCTGAAATACAATTTGCTGGGTACAGTATTCTTGGTTGGCAGTTTTCTTCTTTCAGCATTTCGAATATATCATTCCATTCTTTCCTGGTCTGCAAGGTTTTGGCTGAGAAATCCACTGATAGTCTAATGGGGGTTCCCTTGCATGGAAGAAATTTTTTTCTCTTGTTAATTTTCTCTTTGTCTCTGACTTAAGACAGTTTTATTACATTGTGTCTTAGAGAAGATGGTTTGGGATTGAAATTTGGGGGTGACATATCAGCTTTATAAACTTGGGTGTCCAAGTATCTCCCCAGGTTTGGGAAGTTCTCAGCCATTATTTCTTTAAATAAGCTTTCTGCCTCTTTCTTCCTCTCTTCTCCTGGGACTCCAGTGATATGTGAATTGTTTCTCTTAATGGTGTCCCTTAAGCCCTGTAAGACCTTCATTCCTATACATTCTTTTTTTCTTTTTGTTCTGCTTACTGGGTAACTTCAAATTATCTGTCTCTGAGTTTACAGATTCTTCTGCTTGGTCCAGTGTGCTATTGAAGCCCTCTATTGAATTTTTCCATTCAGTCACTGTATTCTTCAGCCCCAGTATCTCTTTTCTGTTCTTTTTTATGTTTTTAATGTTCTGTTCTATCTCTTTGTTGAACTTGTCATCTTGTTCTTGTATTGTTTTCTCTATATTAAGTTGTTTACCTGGATTCTCCTGTAGCACTCTAAGCATCTTTAGAATAATTATTTTGAATTCTTTGACAGGCAATTCATGTATCTCCATTTCCTTGAGTTCCGTTACTAGAAGGTTACTGTGTTCTTTTTGTGCTGTCATGTTGCCCTTATTCTTCATGATTCCTGTAGCCTCGCATAGGTATCTGTGCCTTTGAAGAAGCAGTCACCTCTTCCAGACTTTATGGACTGACTTTGGCAAAGAAAGAGCTTCACCTTCAGGTGGGGTTCATTAAAGTGTACTGTGACCCAAGGTCTAATGGTACAGGGCGCCAAGTATGGGGGTGTGCGGCAGCTTCAGGTCCAGAGGGGGCATGATGTCCTACTGACTCAGGCCACTAGGATCAACAACACTGACAACTGCATGGACCTTGGCAAGTGTTGCCTGGGGTCCGCAGTGGCTTCAAGGGCTGTTGGGGTCCTAAGCAGTGCCTCTAGGTTCTAGTAACTAGGGACCAGGGTAGGCAGTAGTGGTGGCCAGAGCCAGTGGTACACATACACTTGGCTGCAGGGACCAGCTGCAGGTGACTGTGTAGTGGCAGAGGCCAACTGCAGACACACACGTAGTGGCAATGGCAGGGACCAACAGCAAAGACCAGAGCCAACTGTGGGTACACTAGCACCTGCGGAGACCCTGGCTATCAGCGTGCACTCCCATGCCTGCAGGGTCTCACCTGGGTGCATGCACAGCAGTGGAGGCCAGTGATGAGAGCTGGGCTGGCAGCATGCAGCTGCACAGCTGGAGTGACTAACCCTTCAGCTGAAGGGGTCTAGGTGGCATCTTGTACTTTCACAACCACAAGGCTGGGGCTGGCTGCCAGTGCGGATTTTGGGTTCTGGCTGTTGCAGGAGAGGCACTGGGGAGAGAGTCAGGTGACTGGGCATCTGTGAACACAAAAACCTGTGGGACAAAAACTGGTGAAGTCTGGATTTTGTGGCGGCTGTGCTGGCTTTTGGTCTCTTCAGTGGCAGAAGCTGGTGGGTCCTCAGCAAGCAGGTCACTGGGAACCACAGTGGCTCCTACTGTGTGGCTGATACTGGTAGCCCCTGCCCTTCGTCCTTGTTCCTAGCCATCTCTAGACACCTCAGCTTTGCCAGTCTCTGGGTGCGGTGAAACCAAAGCTAGTCCTTCATGCAGTGACCCAGAAGGCTGGGAAAGCCGATCACCCACCACACTCTCTCTTTCTGGCAAAAGGAACTCTTTCCAGCTGAGGAGTTTCACTCTTGCCACTGCGATGCAGGCAAAATAAAGCTACCCTTCCTTCCCTTTTTGTGCACTTACTCTGAGTTTTTGTTCCATTCTGTTGAAGTTTCCTAAGTGGATCCCTGAGCTCTCCCACACTGGTTTGGTTCATGGATAGGCGTTTAATTGTTGATCTTTGAGGGGCGGGGGGGCAAGGCTGGGGTCTCCTACCCCCCCCCCCCCCTCTTGCCACTGCGATGCAGGCAAAATAAAGCTACCCTTCCTTCCCTTTTTGTGCACTTACTCTGAGTTTTTGTTCCATTCTGTTGAAGTTTCCTAAGTGGATCCCTGAGCTCTCCCACACTGGTTTGGTTCATGGATAGGCGTTTAATTGTTGATCTTTGGGGGGGGGGGGGGCAAGGCTGGGGTCTCCTACCCCCCCCCCCGTCTTGGTGACATCATTCTTGAATGTATCACATTTTATAACTTCATGAAGCACATTAAGATTATAAAGGCTCTGAGAAAACAAAATATAAAGAAAATAAATGTTGAACTCAATGTTTCCCAAACCTTTGGAACACAAAGCACTCATTAGTATCCCGTTAAAATACTGTTCTTCGGAACACCACGTGTCTGAGAGATTAATTCAGCCTCCGATGTTCGGAAACAGCGCCCCCTGGTGCTCAGGGTGGGAGAAGCAGGCAGCCTCCTATCTGGGAGGTGTCTTCTCTCCTTGCTCTCCCAGAGCCCTGCACGGGTGCCTGGGCTGCCTTAGGTTCTGGGCTGGATAGCGCTAAATGTTTGCGGCTCTCAGGGTGCCTTACGAAGTACAGTGTTTATAGACGCTATGACTTTAGCTTGATCATTTAGGGGCTCTTTCCTAGTTTTTGGTGTTAACAAAACAGTAGGAGGAAGACTTTCTTTTTTATCCTCTTTCAAGATCCTTTTTGTTCTCCAAGTCAAGAAATTTTTATTTTCTTCATGATATTTCCCCCATTTTATCTTTGAACTGCTCTATTAAAATAAGGTTAGAATTCTTGGATGATCTGATCTAAATTGCACCCAAATCAAATAATAGTTTCTAAATACTGAAAGAGTATTTCCTCAGTTTTGTGCTATTTATGTTGCAATGGCTATAAGCATGACACACTTTTCAATTTAATCTGCCTTACATTTTTCTCCCTCACTTTATTCATCATTCAACAAAGCAATAAATCAAGCCCTGATTCCTGGCATTTACCCACCAATTTCAGGCTCCCAATGTGACACCACTGAGCATGGAGTTGGACAGAGAATGCACATAGCACCCTGTTGTACTGTGCTTCCAACATACAAATACAACAGATGTAAATAACCTCAAGTATAGTTTATAGTACAATAATTAGGAAGTGGTGATCTTTGAGTACTTGTTACCTTTTAAAATATACTCAATTGCAAATCATAATTTTTAATAATGGATATATCTAATAACTGGCTCACAAAATTCCTGAAATTTTAACAGTCAGTTCTTCCAAGCCAGTATAAGCTGACTCTAGCACAACATTGTATTATTTCTAAAATTCCTGTTTCTTGTCAGGAGAACAGGCCATAGCCACACAAGCTCTGTGTTCCATTTGAGACTGTGGAGCTAGAAAAGGGGAAATGACATTCTTTGTGTGTCTTTCAGATGGATCAGTCAGCGAACCAGATATGGCGGCCAACTTCTGCCCCGACCACAAGGCACCCATGGTGCTGTTCTTGGACCGTGTTTATGGTATAAAGGATCAAACTTTCCTGCTCCACTTGTTGGAAGTTGGATTTTTACCTGACTTAAGAGCCTCTGCCTCTTTAGATACAGTAAGTGGTTAAAATAATAAAAATTATTTTTCCATCATTTTAAATGATTAACATTGGAATTAGAAGTGAATAGTTTCTATCTACTCACTGATTACATACTAACAGTTTGCTTTAAAGGGTGAGAAAATAGAGGAACCAAGAAATGACAGATGTGAATTTATTAGTCCAGAGACTTATATGTAGGTAAACTGGACCTCAGTTATTCAATCTAGCTCCCTCTAGGGCAAGGCTTCCCAAGCTCAGCACTCTTTGAGGTGGGGGTGGGGAGCATCCTGTGCATCGCATAACGTTTAGCAGCATCCTGGGCCTCTACTGGTACTACATGCCCTCTGGTAGCACACACCCCCCAAAGCAATTCACCAGAGGTACCCTGGGAGACAAAATCTCCCTTACATGAGAACTATGGCTCTGTCACTTATGAAAAAGGATGGCTGGCAGCATGATAGGCTGGAAATACTCTTCATACTCTCACTCCTTAAGTTACGTGCACTGACCATCAGGAAGGATAGTCTGAAGCTCACAGCATGACAAGGTCAATGTAAGAGGCCAAGTGCAAATCCAAGTTTGGAAGTCAAGTGTGAGGTAGGGTAATCCAACATCAAGAGACATCAAGACAGGAGGCCCCAGGAGTTAGAACACATAGATGCCAGATGCTCCAAGTCAGGATGAAGCAGAGAGATAGTGTACTAGGAGTCCTGGGTCCAAGGAGGAAAGACCAATTAGATCAGAGTAAGTTTTCAAACAAACCTTGGCCAGTTTAGGGTTGTTTTTAAAGAGCCAGTGGCATATCTTCATGATCAGTCATAAAGTTTCTCAAAGGCTCCACCTGGTGTCCAACAGCAATAGAGGTCTGAGCTCTGGTGACGGGTGGTTAGCTAACCAATATCTTAACTGGGGTGGATTCCATTTGAACGAGTTACACAGAAATGGATGGGGTCACCCAGAAATGGAAAGTAGGATGAGCCCCAGTCTGAATGGGAGCTCTGTCCCTATCTGTGGCATAGAGATAAGAAATGGTATATCCATGAAGGCATTAGAGGCATATGGCTGTTCTGTAAAATTAAAACAATGCTTCCACAGCGATTTTTTTGAGGTTTCCTATAAATTCCCTGATTTAAAATATTTTTAACTTGTGGGACATTCCCAAGTTTCCTCATCAAAGCACTCAACTTGTTTACAGATCAAATAAACAGCAAATACTATTCTAGAATTTGGTGTTCAAATCCCATGCTTGTCTACACACCACCTACCACAAAAGAAGTTTTGTATTCAGTTCCTCAGCACACATATTTTCATGCATTTTCTTTTGAAAACTTTTAAGCCACCGGAATCAAAGCTCTTCCTTCCTCATTTTAACAGCTCTGTCTTTTAAAGTGATAAATGTGGAAGATTAGCTGTTCCTTTCCATATGATTACTGCAGCTCTTAGAAGGCAAACTTTTGATAATTAATAGAAACACCCAGAAATATGTACCATTCAAAGAAAACAGTTTATCAGATCATAAGTTAAAGGAAATGCGTTACAGATATGATGGCTATGATCATGACGGGAAATAAGGATAATATTTCATCTCTGTGGACCTCAAGGTTTCTTTGGCAGTTCTGCACTTTTCAAAGATGGTAGTTAAGCATGCTTTGGCTATATGTAGTGTCACTAAGTGGGCCTTCCTTAAATCTAACCTGTATAAATGTGCAAGAGATAACATTGTGAATGAGGATTCCAGCAGAGTTTAAGAGAAGGCCCTTGATTTCTATTCCTTGTACACTTTTTCCCCATGCAGAGTTAGGTTCCCTTCAGTGATGTCTCACCCTCATGCCAATTATCAGATTGCAGATTGCTCACAATGCTCAAAAATTAGGTGATGGAGGTCAGAGCTCCACTTTCTCTCTGTAAAATTGTCACACAACCAGTGAGTCTGAGAGCTTGCTCAGCTTGTAACCGTTTACTAATCTCAAAATCGCAAGAGGACAGCTTGTGAGTCTCCATGCGGTGAAAACAGAGAGCGAAAACCAGAATAATAATACAGTAGCCTGGCAGTTGGTCTTTGCAAATATCAAGGGTGTTGGGTTAGATTGGTCATCAGCTGATTTTAATAAGCGTTTAGGCTTCTTCTTGGAAGGGAACAGATGTTTGTGGACCATTTGGAATGAGTTATCACTGGCTAGCCTTTGCTTTTCTTCTGTTTATTGTTTCTTTTAACCTGATTCTTTTTCATTTAAGATGCAAAAGAGAAATAGGTCTCTTTAGACCAGGTAGAAAGTGGTTCAGCCTGTCACCGTGAAACACGCATATGTGTACACCTCCCCACCCTGCTAGATGAGAGCTCAGTACAGGGGGAAGCCTGGCTCTGTCTTTCCCAGGAGACAAATCAGCGTCTCAATCTTCTTTCTTTAGGTCTCCCTAAGCACCACCGAGGCCGTGCTGGCACTGAACAGGTACATATGTTCTGCTGTGCTCCCGCTTCTCACAAGATGCGCCCCTCTCTTTGCTGGAACAGAGCACTACTCCTCTTTGATCGACTCTACACTGCAGACAATATACAGGCTTTCCAAGGGCCGTTCCCTCACCAAAGCTCAGAGGGACACCATAGAGGAGTGTTTGCTGGCCATTTGCAAGTAAGTACACGGTCTTAGGTTCTTCACTTGCGCGTATGCGTCCACATCAGCTGCACTGAATTGTGTAACCCAAAACCTGATGAATCTAGTCTGAGGATATGCTCAGACTCTAAGGATGTGCTGGCTCCCCTACTTGCTGCAGGCTCTTTTTTCTCTTTTAAAAATTTTTTTTGAAATACGGTTGATTTACAATGTTGTGTTAGTTTTGTGTACAGCAAAGTGATTCAGTTATACATATATATATATATATATATATATATACACACACACACACACACACACACACACACACACACAGACACATATTCTTTCTTAGATTCTTTTCCATTATATGTTATTACAAGATATTGAGTATAGTTCCCTGTGCTGTACAGTAGGTCCTTGTTGGTTATCTATTTTATATATATATATGTATGTATGTATATTTTAATCCGAAACTTCTAACTTATCCCACAGGTTCTTTCTGATCGCCTCTCCCTTGAGGCTCATCTCTCGCTCTGGGGAAGTGAGGCCGACAGCTCAGGCTGTAGCCTTGAGGGTTGGTGAACCAGGAGATGAGACTGATTTTCAGGCCTGAAGTATTCAGAACTAATAAGAACTGAAAGGACTGACCAGTGGTTTATTTCTAGGCAGGCCTAGCCCCCTACCGCATATAAGAAATAATGCTTTAGCTCCTAAAATAGAGCCAGAAGCAGATTTTCCTATTCTGAATGAGTGGACCTTTACACAGAGGCCAGACTATAAAAGTGTCAATCAAAACAACCTACCTCTAGGCCTCACAAGGCCTGAAACGAAGAAAAGAAGGCATCTCCATTCCCCGTGGGGAATGAAAGGCGGTATGTAGATGAGCATCAGAGCCAAACAAGGGAGGAAGGTAAAGTCACCCCCAAGACAAGAGGGGAGATTGTCAGGAAACTCCATCAGGACTGGTAGGGTCAAAGGAAGATGGACTCTTT